AGCGAGAGGAATCCACGTCCGGAGGTGACGTGCTGAGCGGCAGCGTTTTTCGGCGAACGCTTTACTGCAACGTATCCAATGTATCCAATGATTGCATACTTGCCACATGTTGTATTGTGTTACATTATTATGTCTCCCCCCGTAACCCCCCTGGGAACTGCGCCGCACCGCCGGACTAAAGTGCCCCCCCCCCCCTCCCGCGGCTCAGAAACCTACCAAAACTTATAGAAAATCGATGATTTCGACCTCTTGGGCCTCTTGGGGGGCCGAGAGGGCGCCAAAACGGTTCAAGATGGGCTCTGTGCGGGCCAAAACGGCCCCGAGACGGTCCGAGATGGTTCCAAGAGGGCCCAAAAAGCCCAAATGACGGCCCAAGAGGGCCCCAAGAGCGCCCACAACTGCGCCTCCAGAGGCCGAAATCATGGATTGTCCTATGGTTCGGGCACTATTTTAGCGTTCTCGCCTTTGCGGCCCAAGCAGCTTCGCAAATCGCTCCAGCGCAACCCCAAGAAGCCCCCAAAAGGGCCCCGAAACGGCCCAACAAAACCCCAAGACGGCCCAAAGAGGCCTCCAAGACGGTCCAAGAGGCCGCGAAGACGGCCCAAGAGGACCCCAAGACGGCTCCAAGGCGGCCGCGAGAGGCCCCCAACACGGCCTCCGACGGGGCGAAACGGCGCAGAAGCGCCCCAATACGGCCAATGACGCCCCCAAAAGGCCCCAAGAGGCCCCCAAGAGGACCCCAAGGGGCCCCCCAAAAAGCCCCCAAGAGGCCTCCAAGATGTCTTCAAGAAGCCTCCTAAAGGCTCCAAAGAAGCCACCCGATGGCCACACAGCGACTGGAGTGCAATGCCATTTTTCCAACCTGGGCGAACTGCGGCGCAGCGCCAGCCAGGTGGAAGTTGGTCACAGCGGCGCCCATGATTAGAGCCGGCGCTGGAAGGAAATATGGGGAGGGAGTTTGACAAGGACGGAAAGGGGAGAGGCCCCAAAGAAACCCCCAAGAGGCCCAAGGAAACTCCCAGGAGGCCTCCAGGAGGCCCCCAAGAGGCCGTCAAGAGGCTCCGCGACGACGTCACTGTACGTGCTCCGGACGTGCACCCCGCGAAGCGAGAGGAATCCACGTCCGGAGGTGACGTGCTGAGCGGCAGCGTTTTTCGGCGAACGCCTTACTGCAACGTATCCAATTTATCAAATGATTGCATACTTGCCACATGTTGTATCGTGTTACATTAGTATGTCTCCCCCCTAACCCCCCGTGGGAGCTGCGCCACACCGCCGGACCAAAGTGCCCCCCCCCCCGGGGCTCAGAAACCTACCGGAACTTATAGAAAATCGATGATTTCGACCTCTTGGGCCTCTTGGGGGGCCGAGAGGGCGCCAAGACGGTTCAAGATGGGCTCTGTGCGGGCCAAAACGGCCCCGAGACGGTCCGAAATGGTTCCAAGAGGGCCCCAAAAGCCCAAATGACGGCCCAAGAGGGCCCCAAGAGCGCCCACAACTGCGCCTCCAGAGGCCGAAATCATTGATTGTCCCATGGTTTGGGCACTATTTTAGCATTCTCGTCTTTGCGGCCCAAGCAGCTTCGCAAATCGCTCCAGCGCAACCCCAAGAAGCCCCCAAGAGGGCCCCGAGACGGCCCAACAAAACCCCAAGACGGCCCAAGGAGGCCCCCAAGACGGTCCAAGAGGCCGCGAAAACGGCCCAAGAGGACCCCAAGACGGCTTCAAGGCGGCCGCGAGAGGCCCCCAACACGGCCTCCGAAGCGGCGAAACGGAGCAGAAGCGCCCCAATACGGCCAATGACGCCCCCAAGAAACCCCAAGAGGCCTCCAAGAGGACCCCGAGGGGCCTCCAAAAAGCCCCCAAGAGGTCTCCAAGATGTCTTCAAGAAGCCTCCCAAAGGCTTCAAAAAAAATTATCCCGGCAAAGCAACCTAACAGCGATGTGTAGAAGCATATCTGAAAGCATTCCCCTTAAGATTCAGATGAAAATC